CTCAGGGACAGCAGGTTCTTCCTCTCTTCAATGGAAACCAGGTCATATCAGGTTGCCAAGCTTCCAGACAGGCACTTCAATGCCCAAATATCCTGTAAAGATCCACACCAGGGACCTAAACCCCTTCACTGCATTACAAAGTGCTATCTTTCAGGCTATGAGTCTTTTCCAAAATGTTTTATGTTGTGAAGAGCTGTGATGGCCTGTCTTCTAACTCCTGTGCTGCCTTTTAGGATTTTATAGAGTCATCAGTGTCACTTTTTCAGTCTGATGATGAAGATGGGAAAGCATTAGACATCATCAATGAAGAAATCCCTGATTTGGAGCAGGCTGGATTTGGCCCAGAGACAAGGTCAATTCTTGTCAGAAGTGGAGTGTAAGTCTATTGAAATACATGAATGGAACTATTATTAAGTACTTTTGTGCACAGTTGGGTTTGGGTACATCTTTTGACAGAATATATTTCATATGGTACAGGTGGTGAACAGTTGGGGAACACAGTGTTTCCTTCCGTTTCCTTGGTAAATGGGGCAAAAAACAATTTCTTAGTTTTCTATAAATCTCACGCCTACACCTTGATTTGGATCTGGGCATTCTTCTTACTAGAGAAAGCTTGTGATGTCCCTCCAGAGGTTACACACACAGACTGTAGTTTCATGATACAGGAGCTTTGGCAGTAATACAGAAGAGGGATTTTAGGTTTTGGAACTGGGATATGTTCTTATGTTAAGAATTGGGATACCTTTTGGGGCAGGTGGAGCCTGTACAGAAAGGGCGGGCTGTGCCTTATTTGTAATAAGTCAGGCTGCTGGCACTGAAAATTAAAATACTTCTTAGAGAACTATTTAAACTAAAAGCAGGGAGTTAAACCAACAGGTGTGGGAGGGTACGTGGTTCAAGCTGATACAGCCTACAGGGTGGACTTGGCTAACTTTTGGTGTGCATACATGAAGTCCAGGAGGAAAATAAGCAGTGCAACTGCAATAAATAAGGAAGGTAAATTGGATTGCTTGCAATGTGTTTTGATAGAGATGTACAGTATTAACTGATGGTACAAGGACAAAACTTACAAGTGCTAGAAGCTTAAAAAATAGCATGGGAGAACTAGAATGCTTGGCATGAAATGACAGCTCTGATATAGCAGGTACTGCAGAGATTTGCAGGAAAGATAAGCAGAGGAGCTACCAACTCTATAGGAATGACAGAGTAGGTTATTACAAGCATAGGAGTGGTACTGTACATGAAGAATGTACATGTTGCTTTTAGCAAGTGCCGAAACATAAAATGCGTTATGGGAAAAGAGCGCTATGGAATCATGTGGGTGGAAATTCCAGACTTAATAGTAACTTTAAAAGTGCAGTATTAATGTTGCCATACCTACCCTAATGGTGATGGTGATAGGGATCAGCAACTGTTAAGTGAGACTAAAAAAACTACTAACTTGGGACAGGTAGCAATAGTGGGGGACTTGAACTGCTCATATAGAGACTAGATATCAGTGTCTCATGAGGATGAGATACAGGGATGAAAGACTGGGACTCAGTTTGGAGAAGAAATGGCTGAGGAGAGTTACGAATGAGATCTGCAAAATCCTGAAGCTGGAAGACAAGCTTAATGCAACAGCATTTACAGAATCCTGCATGACAGCAATTGGCAGATGCTTTACAGAACTACCTGTAGATTGCTTTAAAACAGATTTAGAAGTGGGGAGCAAAAAGCCTCTCTTACACCAGAGGCAGTGAATTTCTGGAACTTGCTGCTGAAGGAGGCTCTGGTAGAGATAGCACCAGGAGGTTTAAAAAAACATTAGACAAATCAATGACAAATAGATTCATAAATGGGTGCTAAAAGGACTAGGAAAGGAGATGCCCTCTAATATCCCTAATATAACAGTCCCGGGAGCTGGGTGACTGAGAGGGGAATTCGCCACCAGAAGTGGCCAGGTTAGTAGCGTCTCTCTAACTAGCCTCCATCTACTTCTGCCACTGCGAAAGAGCATGTGCAGGGCTAGAGGGACACTCAGTCTCACATAGTTGGGCGTTTCTTTCTTAAATTGCAACAGTGAAAGCCGAGTGGAGAAGCTTGAACTGCCACCCATCGCAAGCTTTTGTTTTATCTCATCCCATCAAGGCTTCCTCATTTACTTCTCTTTCTTCTTACACCATTTTTCTTAAATACAACTGGAAAAGCCTCTGGAAAAGAGACTGAACAGGTAAAGGCTCAGCTGAGAGAGATTCAAAAACTTGTCAATACAATCCTCTGGGCTTGTAAGCAAGGCATCATCTCGTGCTGAATGTGTATTTGATGGAAAAGCAGAGACACAAAGTTATGTTTGTCAAGGTAGTGTCTGCAATGTAAAAGCAGAAAATCAAGTGTGTCACAATTTTGTGCCTCTTGTTGGGTTTAATTTTACACCGTCTGTCAGATGGACTGAGCAAGAAAACTCCAAAGAAAATAGTACTATTTAACTTGTTGGTATGTTCGTCCATCTACACAGAAAAATGTGATATTTTCAGTTTAACTTTGGTGTCATTCTCTAGGTGGGTCGCGTATCAGCAGAAATATTTCTGTGGAGAACAATACGTGTTGGAGAAAGGAAAATATAAATGTTTCTTTGACTGGGGAGGATCTAGTAAAATCATCATGTCAATTCGACCTATTAAGTTGGTGAGTTACCAAAACTTGTTAAGGGCAAAACTTAGAAGAAATGAGACCTTTGGAGGTCAGGGCATACAATATTGTTATCATGTGGGCTATGCCATTTAATCAATTTGCCTGTTTACTTGGAAACAAGTTAAAGACCCTTGTGGATGACATACAATGAGTCTGTTCAGGATGGAGGCTGAAGTGGACACGCTGGATCTTTTTATCTGTTGAGAAAATTGTCAGGGAAACTTCATAACAACTTCCCTTTGGCAGACTGCATTCATGGAAAGAGGAACCTGGCCTGGAAAGATTAATTTGCCTTAAAACATAGTAATTTATAATGCTTGATAGATAATGGATATAAAAATACTTGAGAATTTTTTTGGCCCATACTGTTGTTGTATAATAGAGGTCTGATTTCCACCCCCCTCCCCCCATTTTAATGCTAAAATATTTGTAATACATAGAGTGAATACAGACAGGAAATATTTTTAATCCATTATTAAATCCAAGGTAGTGCAATTTGCCCAAATAGTTTAGTGCCAGAACTGTCAAAACCCTAATGCAAAACAGTGACAATCCGCAGTAATGAGTATATAATAAATAATACTACTGCACTGAAGATAGGAAAGCAACAAACATTTAACCTCATTTTGAAGAGCACGTTGAAAGGGGTGTCACAGTCTTCTGTTGTTTTTAATTCTGTCTTCTTTTCAAGAAATACACTCAAATACAGAGGCATTTACATGAGCTCTAATCCACATTAATGAACTGATTAATGCTAATGCAAGTTCTCTGTATGGAAAGGGACTGAAAAGTCAGGCAGGTAGTCATGAGCCTACAGGCAGCTGATGGCAGAGGCTGGGGAAGAGAATTGTGCCAAGAGGATAGGAAGTGTGTTTTTCTCTGCTCTTGAGTTCATAGTTAACAAATTTCAGGAACTCGACATGTCTTCTAGGAAATTAATTATAATTAATTTTATTTATTTATATGTATGTACGTATATATTTTTTTTTTTGCAGGAACCGCTTGGAATGAATGAGCCTCCACATTTGGTATGTTGACATTATATAACAGTCTCTAGTACTAAACTACATTTAATAATTGAATACAGGTAATGTTGAATATCTTGCTTTGTTACTTCAGATGGTATATCAGTATTATCATCTCCAGATAGGAGAGCACTGGTGGAGGAAACTAGTAGATGTGTAAAGGTTTACGTTTGCTGATGTTGTACTCTTTGCTTTATTATAGATCATACCTTTTAGTATTCTGTCCTCAAAAATGCAAGCAGTTCAGTAGGTTTTGAGTGACTTTGGGTCTCTATAGCTATTTCTTTTTCTTTTCTTTCCATCCTCTTTCTGGAAACTCACCATCACATACACTCATCCTTCTCTTTGTAGCATATATTGTTTCCACTGGTTTACATTATATGTGGTTTGTCACTATCTTGCTCCCATATGAGGTGAAGAAGAAAAAAATGCAGAAAATTGAACTGCAGTCTTCAAACCTGCAGATGCATCAACAGGGGAAGTTGGATTTTTTAGTCGTGGATGCTGGTAGCTCTGCTTTTCGTAATTTCCCCATCATGTGTAGCCACTCCTCTACCAGCAGGCACCACTTGCTCCGTGCTTTCCTTTTCCTCACAGTAACATATGACTTTAACTGAACACATCCTTATTATAACAAATCTGGGATACATCTCTTCTATCATATATTCTATTTCCCTGAAAGTCAAGTCTGATTTCGTGACAACTTACAAAGAGGAAGTGGTCCCTATAATTCACTTTTAGTCTCAAGAACAAGTTAGTTTAGGGTTTTGCACTTTTGGTTGTTATCTTACAAGGTTATGTTCCATTAGTGTATCTTTCAAAATCAAAAACTTTTTCTAAGTGTTTGTGCTCATCACCAAGGATGGTCTGTGTCTCCCGCAACATTCTATCCAAATGGGACTCTCCTTCCTTCCTGCATTAGTTGTTTCATTTCTTTTTTTCTGTCCTGAAGTGTGCCGCTAGCATGCGTGATGATGTAAGTAGTTATATTGCTCTCTCTATAACATGCTCTTAATTAGCAAATTTGGAAAACTTTATTTCAAGAAACACAACAGTTTTTTGGACAAACAAGACTTCAGAGCTGAATGGTTCTGTGTCAGAAAACTTAAGTATTTTGTCATCTGGACACAATTTTGCTCTTTTTTGCTTGGAATGGCTGTAATACCCATAAGCGCATGGGAAATTGTATTGTAGGTCAACATTGCAGATTGACCACACCCTTCTTTTTCTCCAAGTATGCTAGTTCTACAATTTTATGATTAACCCAGGACTACAGGACATGTTTCCTGTCTGAAGACATAATTGGTGTATTATTTTAGTCTTAAACACCGATTTCCTGCCAGACCTATTCATATGGCAGTTTGCTGCCAAATCTAAAGACTTGTAAGTATGTTCGCAGTCAGGCCTTGGTAAATGATACCAGATAAAATAACCAACTTAGAGGAAATCCGTGGGATCCAAACAATTGAAGATAGTTTTCTCTCCATCTTCAACTCTTCTGCTTTTTCAGGATCTCCCAAAAATTTAATCCAGTTTTTCAGACCTTTAAGATGACCTTTCAAATCTTTGAAGTTTCAATAAATTGTGCTTTACATTATTTTTATTTGCAGTGGTACGTGAAAAAAATTTCTGTGTGTGTGTGTATATATGCACAGTCACCCATAAATACTGACACGTACTATATTGTGTTTTGCCTTTTGTGTTCTCTAATAGCAGTCTTAACACCATTTAAAAAAATTACTATCCTGACTTATCACAATCCTGGTTTTCATAGGATTCTGCCCTAAAGCTAGGGAAGGAAGAACACCATTCGTATTACTGCAGTTCTTTTAGGAGGGGAAAAATTTGAGTAAGTTTTTATGGGAAAACATTTAATCACTTAGGATAAGCAAAGGACGGTCTGGATAAATATAAAAAAATTTCCCATTTAAAGTAAAATAGAAGTTTCCATATGTGCAACAGTCTCTTGGTTTGGAACTGAAAAGCACGGTGCATATGAGCTGGCAAATCCTTAAGCATCCTAATGTTTGTTGGCTCCCTAGTAAACAAAGTACATATAATGTAAGAATGCCTGTAATTGCCAACTCTAAAAAGCCTTTCATTTTATTTATTAAAAATAAAACTTGGTTTTGCCCAGCAAGAACAGAGCCTCTTCCAGTAGCAGCTGACTTGTACAGATGATTTAGGAAGCAGAGATAATTGCTGTGATAACTGGTATTTGTATTTTAACATGCTGTCCGTTGACTTTTTAGGAAGCGAAACCTCATATAGTAATGCCAAACACTGACAAAGTAGAGATAGCTGCAGTGTGAGTCCAATTGCAGATATGCAATGTTTTCACTGAGGAATCAGTACTTCACCCCAGCTTTTGTCAAATTAAGACCATCATTCATTATTTGATATATTCTGTATAAAAATGAGTTATTGATCTTTTTTAAACCCTTGCATAGCATCTGGCCTATGAAAGAGACAGTGTATTCCTTTATAAAGAGCTTTGAGATAAGTGGGTAGAAATTACTATGTAATTACAGCTTAAATAGATAGTGGTGCAATTATATTTACAGAAAAATCAGTTACACTGTATTCATTATATTGTAGCTGATTTCTGTTCTCCAATTTGCAGTTACAGCTTGCAAGGTCAGGTTAAGCCTTTCTTGTTGCTTGTAACAGGAAACGTACTCATTTCTTTTAAAAACATAGACTGAGCTTTTGCATAAAATCATTTGCTTCTCACTCTGTACTGGCAAAAGCATTTGATTTCTTTTCTTTGGCAGGAAGGTAGGCCAATTTGGGGCATGAAGGAGGAAGTAGCTCCTGCAACGGCCATCGTGGTTTTCTTCCATTACAGAATAGGAGCTGTTCTCTTGCTACAGTTGAATTTTTCATTCTTTTCCAGCCTTTCTTTCAGGCTTTAAAGTGCACCTCAGTTACACAGTGGTGGCCCAAGGGTACAGAATTCTAGGCAACTTTGCTATAGATCACAGGATATATCATACTAATTTTTTTTGTTTTCTTTTTTTCTTCTACTGCAATGCTTTCAAACATACTGCTTTTTCAGGGTGAATTGATCACAGCTTACTGGTGCAGTATGGTTCAATGTGGCTTGAAGTTCTTCACCATACCATGTAAAAACAGCTTAGCAGAACTTCATGGTGTATCTACCAGGCTGTACCCAGTTCCTCCAGAAATTTTCCTGCTAATTCTTCAGTGAGAAACTATCTGCAATCACTGTGGTCACAGAAGATATCAAGGCACTTTGTCAACAGTAGCCCTGTCTCTTTTGAGCAATGCTTCCCCATCCTATTTTGAATGCTGGATTGCTGAGCTGTTAAGGTTAACTCTTGTAAGCAAGAGTTAGCTGCACTTCAGGGCTGCTTTTGGTGGAAGATAGAGCACTCAGTCCAAGCCTTCTCTTTTTCTCTGGGCCCTCGTCTCCTGCTGCAGTTGAACTTATGCTTGATACCACTGCCATAGCATCACTGGGAAACATCCTGTACTGGGCCCAGAGACAGTAAGACACTTGATATTTGTAAAAATAAAGCAGCTGTAGAAATGTAAATTATTCCTTAAACGAGAATTCATTCTATTTATTATATCTTTGTGAATTGAATGGATACTTCTCTCAGACCACAGCTCTCTCTGTTTACGTGAATGGTAATGCATTCATTTTCCTTCTAGTCATTGGTTTTGTTTTGTTTTGTTCTTGTAGCTCAAAGCTTTCAGTAATACACATTTCCAAGGAGCATGCATAGATTTCACAGCAGAAGTTTCTGATTTTACATCATTCATACCATGTTCTTTTAAGGTTCTTCGGGGTTGGTAAGTCTGTTGTTTTACATGCCACCATTTTAAGTAATTTTTTTTTTTAAACACTACTAAATTCCAGACAGCTGAAAGTGCGTAACACGTACCCATCATATTCCATTATGTCTTAGGCCCTTTGTCTTGCAATGCATCTCAGTAACTGTCATCCTGTCATTGGTTTGGGTAATATGCATTTGCCTTCCCCATGTGAAGTTTGCACAGTTACTGTGATTCTTTTTTTAACTCTAGTTAGAATTTATTCCAGATTTTGAGAACTTTGGTACGGTAGAAGCGTGCATTCCACTTGCATTGTTTGGCGCTGGAACTGAGATTTCTGTACCGCATGATTTAGTTTTGCTCCTTTGGTTGTTCTGTTGTATAGCCTTTCAAGTCACTGTACTTTTAAGCTTAACAAGAACAAACCAATTTCTATATTCCTTATTTCCTTAGCAAATATTAAATCTTGGTAAAAAATGTACTGTTAATAAGCAGCTAGAGCAGCTAATCTTTTTTGTTACATTATTCTTGCAGTTGGCTCCTGTATTACCAAGGGGAAATCACTGACAATCACTGCGTGCTGGAAGAAGGCCTCTACATTGACCTCAATTCCTGTGGCTGCCCGACTGCTACAATCAAATCCCTCAAGCCTATTCAATATGTAAGGACTTTATTGGGGGTGGCGGGGGGGGAAATAACATTTTGGAACTCTTTCGCTAGTCAGATGTCTGAAGCAAGTGCTTGCGCTAAACAAACTCCCACTTAGGGAAAAGACTGAAGTTTGTTTTCTTGGCTTACAGGATTTTTTGGGGTTAGGAACAAGCCAGGCTGCATGCACACATGCACGTGGTCACTTGTAGGCCTGCACCCTTGAGTGTTCTGGGCTCAAAGTTTCTCTCTTATGTACAAGTTGCATTGGTTGGCATTTTTCTGACTGGTCTTTATAATACATCTCAGCAAGCTTAGTATGCAGTGAGACACTGATTTTGTCATGCTGTCTAAACATGTGGGGCTTCTTTTATTTTGGCCCACAGACAAGTGTCAGTCTGAAAGTAAAGTACACACAGAAGACATCAAAATTGAAATTACAAGGTAGTGTATACTTGCTGTAATGCTGCTTAATTTACTAAATGATTTTCAGAAATGTAAAAAAAGTTTTTTACCTCCTAATGGCATCTCAAATCATGGGTCATAGTTAAGTGGTATAATGTACCATGCATATGGTCTGTGAGCTGTGTATGACACATGAGATGTCCTCTCCAAAGCTCATTGGGCCATAATCTCTTTTGGTGACTTACGAGATACAGGACAGCTACTTACTACACATGCGTACAGTTTTTACATGATTTTCAAGTCACATTGGTTGTACTACTCAAGCATGCATCTCATAGTCAAGTGACCTATTGTACCAGTAAGGTGAGATATGAGGTCTTCTGTGGCCAGGAGATTGGACAGAAATGAATTGTACTGTCCAGTACAAGGTAGGTAACAGCCTGTTGTATGTCCTGTTGTAGTCCTGCACACAGGACATACAGCTCTTGAAGCTTGCTGTTATGTCTGTGCCTTTGTCCCATACCTTGGTACGTTCCTATGCAAAAGCATCAAAGATAAGCTGGCCCTAACACTAGTCAGTAAAAGAGAAGCAAGTGGCTCCTTTGCACACTCCTCTCTAGCGCTGACCAGCTTCTCCAAAACTCTTCCTCCTTCCCTGATCACAGAACACAAACTGAGGCTGTGTGACATGTGCCCTTCAATATAACTCTCACGAAACTGGACTTTTAAAGATTGCTCAATTCAGTTTTCTTCAAGTATTAAAGTCCTTTTTTCAATTTGTGAAGAGATTTTTTTTAAAAAACAAACAAAAAAACACCCAAGGAAAAAAAAAACAAAACCCATGAGCATGGTGGGAAGGACAACTCGAGGTTGAGAGTTGGTCTTTTCACTAGACTGCATAGACACAGTGACTTCAGTGGAGCTATAGCTTCTCACCTGCTGAGAGCCTGGTTTTCAGATTAAAGATCCCCTTTTCATGTTAGGCTTTTGGACTCTGCTCTGCTAAATCAAAATGAAGCTTTGACATGAAATGTCAAAATCCCCCAGCCTGTAATCTCACAGGGAAGTAACTATGCAGCTTGGCACAGTAGGAGGCTACTGGCAGCCCTTGATTACCGAGGGCCAAGCCCTGGGAGAAGTGGGTTTGGCAGGCTGTGTGTGGGAAGCTTACACGTATCTTCCTGTACTTCGTAAGTGGCTTGCACCTCTTAGTTCAGTTCCTCTCTTGCAAATAGGAGCCCTTGTATTTCACAAAATCGAAGCACTGAACAGTGTAAAACGCTGTTGAACCACATCTGTTTTACAAATAGAAATGTCCTCATCGGCCCCTAACACATTGTGTGTGCTAATCACACAGGACAGTGCTCAGATGCATTGTGTAGTACAGACGTGATGTTAAGCACACAGCAGTAAGTTTGGTCAGCGGTCACAAACAGCCGTAGCTAATTCTGTGCATTGTCCACAACGCACTGTTCTTGGAACAGAGCCCTTTTTATTACAGGATATTTCTGTTAGCTCATTCAAGAGAGCAACAAGCATATTCCCAAGTGGAATTGTTGTATAGCTTTATTGAATTCAATTTTGACATTGGGAACCCTTCCATTGTTCAGCCTTAAATACGAGCCCAATTTCAGACCTAAGGTGTGTATCTTGATAGCTTACGTGTAAGAGGGGAGAATGTTTAACCCCAAGACCAAGCCCTGAATGTGCATTGTTTCTTGCTGTCCTTTAAATGAGATCTGCTGCAAGTGTAACTGTTGGAAGGACTCTCACACAGCAGGGGAGCCATGTGTTGCTTCAGTGTGTGAGGTTTCTGCATCCCAGATGTTGACTAGGAGGAGAGGCCCATGTGTGGCACCAGCAGAGGGGAAAAAAATACGCTTTTAAGCAGTACAAAGGAATCACAAGGCTAGCTCATTACCAGCCTTTGAAGATAGTCCAGATCCATTGGCTGGTGTAGATGTGGTCCAGCTATATGTTTTAGAAGTAGATTATTTCAGCTAGTCCTTTGGGATAGGAGAACAAATCTGCTGGAGGAAATGGGCATGTGGGATCTGGGTATTCCCTTCCTAATTTGCATTATTGTAATGCTAATTAACTATATGTTACCTTGATATTGTACAACTCAGTGAAGTCCCAACTCGGGACCTTTTATCTGCAGGACGTATGTAAGCATATAGATTCTTTGTGTGGGGCTAACTCCAGCGTAGCTGTGAAACATGGCAGTCAGCACAGGCCACTGACACCTGTGGGGTGTGCAGCTTGGCTGGGCATCCACACTGATTTATGCATCTGACCCCAAATCAAGATGCCCTTTCTGGTTCTATCTGTTCTGGTAACTAAAAGGAACATCTAGCTAGCAATGTTTTTGCTATTGCATGTAGCAGCACCTTCAGTGTAACTTTTTGAGTTTTCACTTAAAATCTGTAATAGTTTTGAGGGGCTTTTTGGATGATGTCAGCTGCCACAAGATTTCTGGGCTCTCCATTTTGGAAGGAGAATTTGAAGACTGAAGTTTTGTACTGGTAGTACTCCTTCATGGCATGGGTGTGCTTTTGTGACCTGACGGAACAAGGTGGCAGTGGGATTTTTGTGACGGAGTAATGTAACAGTAGCACCTTAATCTATATGAAACAGCTAAGAACTTCTGCAAAGCCTTGACTGATTTTTTTTGAAAATAGATCAACCAATAGAAGATAAGGAAAGGATTTGAGGGAATAGTTTGTTCTCTGGAAAATGCAAAAAATGCATTTGATGCAAACAAAATATTTGCAAACGAATGTGGCAAATGTTCTAAATGAAAAAAAAAAAAAAATGGGGAGGGGAGGGCAGTAAACTTTTCTGGTTTTAGTTTGAAAATTGCCGGAAATATAGTCTGCTTGTTTACAAGCTTAATTACATAACAAAATGAAAAATCTCATTCTAAATCACTGAGTTGGCCTGAATAAAATAGAAAAAACCCAAAACTTTCAGAGCAACACAAAATTAATTTGGATAAGAAAACAGGCTCAGACTAGCAATGGTCTAATTTCTTCACTGTGATGACAGTATTTTAGGTTGGCTAGCTTGTGTTCTAACCTTTATCTCTTGGAGGGGTGTTTTATGGGTTCTTTGCTGAAAAGTGAAGTTGTCATCCCTTAAGTGTGGCATGCTACCCCCACCCCCTCCACACACACACTCCCCCATTTCTCAAGAAATTCAAATTAACATGGTTCCACTTCGGTTATTTCCCCATTTATTATGCACCGGTGTCATAGAGGAATTAAGCACATCTTTGCAACAAGTTTCCTCTGCTGTTTACTTTGCTACTTCCTGGTCAAAAGTTATGTAGGTTCCTAAGGAGAGTGGGGAAGGTGTTACCGTATTTCCAGGAACCTCTTTTCCATCTTGGCTTATCCCCAAGGCATATAATACTCAAACTAAATCTTTAGGAGACCCTATCTGTGGTTTTTTTCCCTGCTGTTCCATTTCACTCAAATTCAGACAGGACTTTTTTGCCCTTCTGGCAGTGTTTAGGAAAAGCTGTTCGTTAATGAGAGGATACAAAAAAGGAACAAAGCATATTTGTACCTTGATAATGAGAAAATAGTGCCCTTTGGTTTCAGTATTTTGGGAAGAAAAATAGTGTTGCAATACCCATGTATTAATCTAGATTGCATATTGAAGTGTTACATGGCCTCTTCCCTTCTGAACAGGGGAATGCTGCTGAAAGACCAATGAGTCTTTTTCATGTGCTATTTTGTAAATGGGGAAAATATGCTAGAAGGTGTATCTCCCAGGAACGTATTTCTTTAAGTGGACAGGCAGTTATACACTTAACATTAGAAGGGTACGCATCTATTTAGTAGTGGTAGGAACAATGGAACTAATGTAGCTTGCCTCTCATCATCTCCTGTCATCTAAAAATCCCAAAGCACTCTTTAGGAAATGCTCATTGATGAAATTTGCTGGTATTGTTGTTAATAGCCACTGTGCAGGCAGGTAAAAGCGTAGCACAGGCTAAGGGATGCTGCATTTGCTGCAGCAGTGCAGGTATCCATGCCTGTGTCAGCAAGGACTTGCCTTTTGCATTGCCATGAATTCATGAAAAGGCAAGCGTGGGCTGTTTGCCTGGTGGCAAGAGAGCGGATAGAGTCAGCTGGGCCATTTATAGGGCCATGGTTGCTTACTAGGGCATTTTTCCAGTGTTTGTTGCTTGAAGAGGTTAATCTTTTGGGATAGAAACCCTTACAAGATGTTTTTATAAAGGGGAGTTCAGCTCTACTGCTGCCTTTTCTCAGGCATGTTGTTTTGTTAAACTCCCTGTAATATTTGGTGTGACTTACATGGACAAGAGTATCCAGGATTGTTGCAGTGAGCAATTAGTTTTCCTTCTAAAATGTTAACTTCAGCCCTAAAGTTCAGCCAGTCTCATAGTTTCCAAAAACAAAAATGAGATCTGGGTTGTAGGTTGTGCAATGCCTTGGGTTTTGTTTTTGTTGGTTGGTGGATTGGGGGTTTTTTCTTCTTTTCTTTTGGGGCATTCCTTATTCTTGCTCTGACTGATTGTGGTAGTTCCTCTATTTCTATATTGATTATTTTTTCTAAGTTAAATACAGGTGTTAACTAATCTCCCTAGCATTCCTGTGAGGCAAATAATGAAATCAGATACAAAAATTAATCAGTGTTTCCCAGGGCCAGGCAATGAGTCATTTTGTGTAGCTGGGACTGTACCGTGGGTGTTACTGTCGTCCAAGCTCTGTTCCTCTCCCTCAGCCAGGCATCTTTCCCACACTGAAGGGAGCAGCAAGGCAAGCGCAGCTTCAGTAAAGACAGTTGTAAATGATGAGTTAGCCAAGACTGAAGAGTAAAGATTTTTCCAAGGATGTTGTAATACAGCTGTAGAGTTCCCTCCAGTTAGGGCCTTGGTGAATGCTGTTTGCATAACAACAGGTCATTAGGGATGCAAAGTGGGGACATGTACCAACCCTTGCCATGACTGGGTTATAGTCATGCTTTAGTCCAGCCCTGTGGATTTCTTTCTCTGGGCTCTACTACGCTTTCCCATCAAAGTTTGCAAAATCTAAGTCCACAAAAAAAGTGCGAGCAAAAGTACGTTTTGGGGTGAGCCCTTCTCAAAAGGGCTTTATTAGTAATAATTTTCAAGAAATTCATAATGCAAAATTATCTGTATGTTATCCATAGCTAAAACAAGTATACTTTTTATTATAAGCATGTGTGCAAATTCACTTGTGCACTTGGGTCTCAGTTGTAGCACCTTTTGGTTAACTTCTTTGTGTCTATACACTATTGCTTTTCAGTGGGTCAAGCACCTAAGCCTTGCACTGCAAACAAAAGGCATTCAAAAGGAAGCTGATCTTACGCTGATTTTTGTTTAATATCAAACACTTCAGGTTTGCATTACACTTTTTTTCTTAACTGGTAAAGTATAAAATTCTGTTCTGAATTAGGAAAATTTGTGGTACACAGCTTCTGTCTATTAAAAAAAGGTAGAAGTCATTGAGGGGAAAGTCTGAGCTGAGCTGAACTGTGCAAGAGTGTGTTGATTTCCATGGCTTACCTTTCAGACTCTGAAATTACACCATGGGGAGGGAAAAAGGCTGTGTCATTTTCATGGCATCACATGCTGTATTAGCCATAGACTACCACACCTGCTAAGTAAAGAATATCACTGTATTTAACAGTTCACAGGCTGTTTGTATCTTGAAATGCTATGTAAATATAACCTTTCTTAATTACCGGCCTCTTGAATACATTAAATCTCTTCCTCTCTGGACATTGGCATTAAAAAACAGGACAAACAAAACCTCTTGAAACTTTATTGGGGATGGTTTAAGCAAGGCAGTTGGCTCCTTAACGCACAAAGATCAAGTTAAGTAATTCTTCAGTGCTTTGTCATTCTTGCAGTTGGCAAGCTTTCCCCAAATGTTGGCATTTCAGATATTTTCATTGAAATAACTATGAAAGGAAGCTGAGATAATCCTGACCTAGACATGGCAATGACTCGACAGTTGTTGGTAAATGTAGATGTCTTTAGCTCACCTCTCAAAATTGGGGACCGGTGTCCACCTAAAGCAATGCCATGATCTGAGGTTGTCCTCTCTTGTGTTCTCTGATGGTTGCCCTTCCTCTGGCTTTTGGAGAGCCCCATTCTTCCCTGACCTACCAGGATTGGGCCTTGGTGAAGAAAGCTGACCCACTGAGTCTCATGCTTACCTATCAGTGATGACTCTTCAGCCTGAAAATGGGTGAAAATGCCTTTCAGCATTCTGCAAGGAAGGGTGAGAGCAAGATGCCTCTGTAGTAAGTGTAACAGCATAGCCTGAAAACATTGTTTTTTACTGTTGGTAGTTTCCATGGAGCTATGAAAACAAAATCAGAGAAAAAAGCCAGGCCAAGTCGCTGCTGCCAGCTGTTGGTGTAAAATGGTATATATAAAGTGAGTAATCAGCATATTGCTCTATATATGGTTATGGAAATACAAGAGCTTCAGTGCTTGAGACAGCAGCATGTTTTCTTTTTCTGTGCTTCATGTCTGTGCCAAGGTCAGTGGAGTCCTTCTGAGGTCCCACTGGAAAGGTGGTATCAGTCCTTGTGATCGGTTGTGTGTCTGTGTGTCATAGATGCAATGTCTGCTGCGTACCGACAGGCTGGACCACGTTAGAGCTAGAGTAATTTTAAATGACTTCACCGATTTCCTGTTCTGATTCTTGGTCTATGAATGGATATGCTGGATCAGATAACTTGTCCATCTAGTACAGCATCCCTGTCTCTTAACGTATTGAATATTGCAACAGCAGAATGAATTTTAGGCTTTGGTAACAATGTCTAGCAACAAGGATGCCAAATGGTGTTTCCCATGCTTACTAATGCACTAGTGAAAATTTTCCCTGTTGGACCTGCTCTGGACATGGCTTCTGGTCTCCACTCAGGTGAAGGCCAGTGCCAAGGGTGTAGACTCTTGCAAACTGGAGTGTGGTGATACTGCCTGGCTGAGAAAAGCAACCCGAGAAGTAGCTGCCCGCGCTAGGTCTGCTGGTCTAGATTTCAAAGCAGGCCTATAGACATACGGTCTAAATTTGACCCACCTCATCCAGCAGAAGGCAGGTGGGAAGAACTGATGTTCCAAAATAAAAACGTTATGGGCTTTAATGTCTTTCTGTTTTGTAACATTAGTTTTTTTAGGAGTGTGACAGGCTTTAAAAATCTCTATGGGTGGATGATCCCAGGCTCGTCTTTAAAATGTCTCAGCAAACTCCCTGTCCATGCAGTGTTGCATGACTTACATTGTCCCTGCGCTGATTGGGAGAGGAAAGCAATTTCTCTGAGGCAGGATTTGAACAACCGGCTACATACCAAGTGCACTGAATCAGTGCCAGTAAATTCGTAAGTCCTGAATCACCACTGAGCTCTTCAGAGGCACGTCACTACAATACATGTGCCTCTTGAAACATGAAAGTTACGTTCTCTTAATTACTCGGTACCTGGGTCACCTTTAATTTAAGACCTTGTTTTATTCATTCTACCTGAGGCCATGTCTTTGCTGCAAAATAAATACTGCCTTTTGCCTGGGCCGGCTGTCTCAGGGTAACATCTCCTAAGAACAACGTGACTTCCCTGGAGGTGCTGCTTAATTGCAGCAGTTAGTCAGACCTGTTCCCTCTCCCTTTAGTAGCTGCATCAAGATACAAACTAACAAGTGCTTATGATTTTCATTACAATACTTCCCTTATTGTTTTAGGTTAAAAATGCTGAAAAATTGTCCAAGTGTTCTTTGTACTAAGACGCAGACTTTGTGTATTTAAATCTGTTCCCTCTGTGCTTTTCTGCTGATCTTACCCGCTGTACCACATTTTCGTGCAAACTGATCTTTTCATTTGCTTTCATAGGCAATCTCTCAACTGTACAAAAGGAAACCAAGTGAAAAATGTTTCAGTTCTACATGAGATTGGAGTGATTAGTAATTATGCTATTTCTTCAAGATTGTCAGAAGAAAAATGGGAATCTCTGTTAAAAACATGGAGAACTTTTTAGTTCTGATGTTTTTAAGATTTTTCCAATTTGTAGATCCCTAAGATTTTTCCAGTGAACCACTGAAGAGCTAATTGAAGTCTGTGGACAATAGATGTGCAATTTGCCTCACTACTTTAGACGAAATCTGCAGATCACCCTGAAAACTACTGCTGTAAGCTGTTCCATCAGTGAAAAAAAAACAAACTGGATTTTTTTAAAAGGCCCTGATGATACAGACCAGATCATAGAGAGATTTTTTCAAATGCAGAGGCCTCTCTGCATCTTGAAGTGACTCAGTGTCTGTCCTGTGTCAGTGAGACACTATACCCTGATGACAAAGCCACTGCTAAACCCGGCATGTTTCAGTTGTGTGTGCTTTGTTGGTAGATGTAAATTTTTTTTCCTTGCTGTTATATTTGCTAAGGGAGCATGATCTAACCAAAAAGCATGTGGAAATGAAACTGAAGTGGGCAAATGGGTGCATCATGCCTAACAACTGAAGTTAGAAGGCTCCTAGTAAAACTTTGCCTTTTTTTCTCCTCCCCCCACTGCAGGTTTTTGCAGAGCCCTCCATCAGTCTGTTCGCTCTGGAATGCTGCAAGGGCAGAGAGCTGCACTTCAGTGGACCTGTCAATTCTGTTTTGAATGAGGACCTTCATTTTTATACTCAATCTGTATGGGTGAGAAGTGGATTGTAAGTACAGAAGAAATATTCTTGTCAGTTTTTGCATTATAGGAGCTAACACTGAGTATGCATTTTCTCCCAATTACTGTCTGTTTTTTCATAGGATGTGTTTTACAGTCTAATTTTTATTTTGAGACAAATAATATAATATCCTAAAATGTGGTTGAATGCTAGACCCACTTTCTGTATCAGGACCCAAAATGAACAGAAAATCTGGGCGGAGGGTGTATTTTCCCCTGCAAGAATCGTCCTTTTATCCCTATACAGTAATGAACAATAGAGCCTGTTGTTCAAGCCAGGAACCAAAACTAAGTAAATCTTGATTGCTGACTTACAAAGACACGTAGAGTAAACTCAGACTGCCTCTATTAACTGGCTGTAAAGTGCAGTGATTTAACATAAACCACTGCAACGGTTCAGTGATGCTTGACATGCTGATCGGCTGCCACAGAGGCAGCAACTTCTGAGAGAAGCTTGGGGCGGATCTGGCAGCTGGAGCAGTAATTAGCTTCTGTTACTAGTTTAAGTCCCTTCCACGAGTGTGAGTAAACACCCAGGGTCTTTTGTGAAAACCATCCTACATCTGCAGAAGTGACCTTCTAACCTCTTCTGCATCTCCCTTCTGGAGAAACTCCCAAGTATTCTGTCTGGGACAGGTTTTCAGCCTCCACATCCACAGCAGCATCAAATAACTTGCAGAGTCTCCTCCTGCAACTGAGACTGACTGGAAACTGCTGTTCTTCTAATGCAACACACGTTTCCTGTGTTTACTTTTAACCTTTTTCCCCACCTTTCTCACACAGACAAAGCTGTAATTTTCTTGGGAGGTCTTATGGCATGACATAAAACCATGCAAAATTTGAAGTAATTGTGCAAGGAATTAATGTAGACTGTTCACAGCTTAGGTGTATATCTGTTGCAATTCTTACAATGAATTTGTAAGAGTGAATTTGTAATGAATTTGAGGCTGAGAACAGCACACACGCGTTCCAAGTGTGCTACTTTAGAGAAGGAAAGGCCACCTTTGGGAAGAACACCTAACATTTCTGGTGGGAGTATGTAAACGTTCATGCCTCTGCGGAGGTGTTACAGTCTAAGGTGTTTCCTGTTGGGAAATGTCTCTTTATGAGCTTTCTCTGCCCTCTGTCAGGGGCGTGGAACTGGAAATTAAATCACTTTGCCCATGCAGTGGGCTGTTAAGGGTGATGGCTTTGGGACCACATAGTAGAAAAGCACGAGAGAGTGAGTGCAATAGCCCAGCCCTTCCCCATCTTCCTGTTCACGTCCAAGTATTCAAGCCAGGTTAGCCGGTTCCCTATCTCTGGGAAGAGTCAGGGCAGAATGGCTGAGCTTTCTCCAAGCTCCTTGTGATGCTCCCCAGGAAACGGACCTCCACAGCCTGTCCCCATCCCACACTGCGGATAGGTAGCTTAAAGGTTGAGGGTGGCAGGTGATTGTGGGAAGTCTGTGGGATGTCCTAGAGGGTTTATATGCATTATCTGTGATCAAGAGTTCAGGAAGATGGATTTAGAGGGTTTTTGGCTCCGTGCCCCAAAGCCTACAGTCAGCTTTAGACAAATGCATTTTGCTGCCAGGCTTAGGTACAAGGATCCTTCCTGAGCCAGTTGACCAACCTCAGCCAGAAATGGCATGAGCCTGGATTGTGGCTTGGCAGAGGGGCCTGAGGGCTGAGGTACTCCGAGGTGTGGGAAGGGCGGCCCAGTGGAGGCTGCTGGTCTGTGTGAGAGCTGAGGTGAGTTTTGTCTGTGTCGCTGAGTGCCAGCAGCCCAACCTGGCTTCAGATGGTTATTACAGTAACAACCTGACCCTCTCTGTTTCCTATAAATGTCTGCTTTGGCAACAGCAACCATATTTCCAATGAGACCATTAAAAGTGAATTCACAGAAAGCATTGCAGAAAAAAAGTCAGAAATGTGTTAGACGTGTAAGGAGCACACAGTCATGGTCAGGCTGCTCTGAATACCTGTTAGTCAGGAGGTATGGGACTTAATTTGAAGAAATAGTGATACAGCCTCACTACGAGGCATTTCACTGTTGGCACATTTTAGCCTCCATGGAGTCCTGAGCAAGGCTGGCTGGCTGTTTCTCCAAATATGCACATTGAAGAAAAGTAAATTACAGGTGCTGAGAGCACTGTTTGTGGATGTTTTCTCACTGACTTAAGAGTGCAGCCATCCCTCGTGTCCTTGGCAGCTGACAGTAAAACAGGTAACATGGGAAAACCAGTATTTGCTTTTTTGTTCAGATGAGTTAATGAGTCAAGCATTTAAGATTTACTGTCTGCACAACAATGCCCTATTGATATAAACCGATCTGTGATCCCACGGCCAGCTGTTGTAAGCAGCAACCCATTATCTACTGAGCAGATGTCTAGATAATAAGGGATCTGTATGTGCCGTGCTTTAACTCTGTGTTAACAAAGTATTCAGCCGTGTCCATGGCTGGGATATCTTCACTACAAGAAAGTCTGTTACAGCAACTTATAGGTTTTGGTGTAATTGTTTTGAGACAATAGCTACAGAAAGCTTTAACTGTAACAAAAGAAAACATTGGACCAGATCCTCCCATAATTAATATATACAAGCATGCAAAGCTGCGAGTACTGCTGCCTGGTGTGTGGCCTCCTAGCTTCCTAATGCACATCACTGAAAGCTGCATTTCGCACCTGGGTTCATGCAGAGGTTCTCATATTTGTGGGAAAAACTGGGTGGGGCTGGGGGGAGGATTTTACAAGCTTCAGGCAGAAAACAGGTCTTAATTTAGACAGAAAATAGGTAAACCACTGAAACAGATGGCATTTTGCAGCACAGTAATACAGGTTTGGCATTAGCACTAATGTGGAGAGGTTTGGGGACTTTCAAGAGCACAGTCTTGAACACTGTGTATCCTGTCATTTAGTTTTACTATAGTTAACATGTAATCCTTCACATTCTGTTTTCTGTATCCAGGTGGATTGCATATGAAGGATGTAATTTTTTAGGAAAGCAGATTCTGTTGGAGCCCAGTGAGATTTCAAACTGGAATGAACACAGTGGCTGGAAAGTAATTGGCTCCCTTCGTCCTGTGAAGCAGGTACTGTAAGAGTGTATGAGGACAATTCTTTTTTTGACTGGCATTAGTGCACAACTATCAGCTCTACCACTAAGTATAATGGTGTGCATTGTACTCCTTAAATCAGGCCAAATGATGACAGCCAGAAGGACCTACTGGAAGATTACTGAAGCAGAAAATTCCTCCAGTGGCAGTTACTGAGATCTATATTAGGCTCCTAAAGGGAAATAATTCCTAGTTACTTGGAGCCAAGTTTTGTTTTTCTGAATGGCTCATTAGCATGTTCTGTAGATGCTCTATTTTTACCGTAGAACAATAATACTGAGAAAACCAAAGCTACGTTAGCTTGTTTCATAATTAACATAAATGGAAGCAAGAACAAATTTTATTGTGTTGCAGCCTGGATTGCCAAAAGAAGCAAAGTTTATGTAGTCCCAGCAGGTTTTCCCCCCTCCACCTCACCCCTATTAGTGCCAGTTTCAATCTAATTCAGAGATTCAGGTTTCAAAACCACAGAGTTGGTAGGTAGGAGCTTTGTAAAAGGCAGGTAGAGAAGCAAGACTGAGATAAATGCCCCTCACTTAAGGAAAAGCAGGTACAGTTCTGCCTCTCTGCCTTTCCAAGTGGCATCAGGTAATCAGTGACACATATACGCTCCAAACCAGTCGGAGCACATGTTGCTGCGTGCCCAGCCATGCAGCTGTGGGAGGGCAGCGCCATGGGGAGACAGGAAAAGGACGGAGCAGAGTGGCGGGGAATGTGAGTAGTGACTCCACTGGAAAAATTCTCATTAGTTCTGGTTCTCACAGAACAACTTGTTTCCCCTTAGTGAGAAATGCTGCTTTATTTTTAAACACTAGATTCAACTGGGGAAATGTCACAGTGACCAAAAATAATAATCTATAGCATTATCCATGCGTTATGTGCTCCCTCCTCCAGAAAGGTAAAGAATTCCCCCCAATCTAAGAAGTTGACAGCTCCCTGGAATTCTTTGGAAGCGGAAACTACCAAAGGATCCCATTTTGGCACTGTTTTTGCAAACAATAATGGAAGTAATTTGTGCTGATCTTAAAAACAGAATACTCTCTTCAGCCAGCAATCTGAAGAGCTTTTGTATTTGGTAGCATCCTTTTTCATACTGCAACAGTGGATAGTGTTATAAGGCCTACTTCAGCTACTTTTCTGGGACTTTTGGCATTTGGGGTTTGTGTCATTATCTCTTTGGTTTTGTTTTAAAACCTGCAAACTGAGGGCTTCTGTGTGTCTGTGCAGTGAGCTACCTGTGCTTGACACTTCTGTGGGCATATTGTCACTTTTTTTGAGACTGGAGTAATAGTACAAACCTGCCCCACTTACATGTCTTCCGTCTCCATTACAAATTACAAAAATAGTCAAGTCTGCAAGTGTAATAGGTAGTGCAAGAAAAAGCAAAACATTTGAAACTCATGCAAGATGAAACACAATGTTGCTCAGTGACTTTATAATAAAATCCCTTCCTTGTAAAGAACAGCTATACACTATACTCACTAATACAGCTTGGTTTATGGATACTTGGTGGGAGAGAGGCTTTACTGTCTCTACCTTAGGGTTTGCTTTAACATGAAAAATAGGAGGTTCAAAGCTCCTACGTGTCAAAGAAGACACTGTGATTGACTTGGGATTCCAGCAGAGCTACCATTTATACTGCTCTTTATTTGCACCAAAATGAGCGAGTAACAGAGCAAAAGCTCAAACCCTGTAGTAGCCCTACAAAAATCTCCTTATTTTTTGCATAAACAGGAATGCTACATCAGTACTCTGTCTGTTCAAACCCCATGTATGTTCAAAAGCAATGGTTTAACTCGCTGCCATACATTCCAGTTAATGGGGGTTGAAGTTACTGGTAAGTTTTGTGTCCTGAGAATAAAAAGCTTGTGGAGTATAGCCCATTTACTGGCCTTGGAATGAGTGAAATCTGCTGAACTGGAGATATTACTTACATATCACAGGAATTAGTTCTATATACATAAATATATTTTTAAAACAACTGTTTCACCATTGCTGCTTACAGCTGTCTATCTGCATGTGAAAAACTTACTGCTGCTTTACGTGCACATTTGTTTCCAACAACAAAATTATTGAACATCCTCATCTGAAACTGGAAATGGAACATATACTTTTGAAAACTGATGCATGATGGCAGGGAGGCATTTTCACATCAACTTTCTTAATCTCTGTGTTACAACTATCTTCCTTCACACTATTTCAGCCAGCAGTGTACCTCAGAGTGAAGAACCGAGCCCAGGGTAAATATCTGACAGTCGCTGGAAGCCTAGCAGATATAAGAGCAACATCAGTGTGCGCGTCCCCATACAACGGCAAGAACACACAGATCTGGCACTACTGTCGTGGGCTCTTCAAATCCAAGGCGAGTTTCTAGATGCTGGAAGCGGGTGGGTTGTATCGCCTGCTGTCCTTTCACCTTCACTTCTTGCTTTTACTGTCGGCTAGCATTAACAGCGGGATAGCTTTTGGCTTCTCCCATCTTAAACCGACACTGTATAACCTCCTACCATGTATAGACAGATTCGATCTCTCTGCTTGGGCAAGTTGGACTTCTTTTCACACCTATCTAATGGGACTCATGTTCCTGGAAATAGAAACCTGGTTTTGTCTAAAGTCACAGGTTTGTTTACCTGTAAGGAATTTCTCTGAAAAGTAACATGCGAAGAAAGGCTGTAAGTGACTTTGTATTAATGCTGCCCTTGATAGTCAGTTACTAATATAAAAAGCTGAGAAACACCTGAAGTAGAAAAGACCTTTGATCAAGCAGCTGGTGAATTGCTGGATAAATTGCTGAATAATCTGTTCTTAGCTTGCTTGCTAGGCTTGGTACCAGCTGTAGCATGGTTATTGCAACATGCTTGGTGCCTGAAACAGAAACAAGTCAGACGCAAAACCGAGGCTTTGTGGCCTGCATCTCATTTCTCTTCCTCTTCCTTAGGCTAACAATGCCTGTCTGGATGTCATTGGTGGCAGAGATGTGCCTGGGGCCAAAGTCGCGCTCTGGGCAGAACATGGGAAGGACAGACAAAAGTGGAGACTCAATGAGGATGGAACCATCAGTTCATACCTCAGCGACCAACTGGTGCTTGATATTAAAGGTATTTTTTTAAAAAACAAACAAACAAAACCTCATATGTTCCAAGTGCATTTTTTGATTGAGGTTAATTGCTGTATTGCAGCTCTTTATGTTATTAAGGTTAAATACTGAATCCTATCTTTCCTGTTAGTTTTATGTTCAGTCGCTTGACAATGGGACAGGAAACAACAGGGCCGGGGGAACCTTACTTGTTTGATCCCCAAGGTTTATTTTGATCAGACCAACAAATCTACTTGAGGGAGTTCAGTAGTGCTGATTGGCAAGAAATGCAAGTTACAGAAGACAAAATGGTGAAGGAAAAGCAACCATGGAGTAGATGTGACTCAAAATGAGAAAAGCACTCACTCCTAGTGTTTTCAGGCTGGTTAAAATTTCTCCATGGTCAAGTCCTAGTCCTTCTAATTATCCATCATGGTAGAACCTCACTGGATGATGCCTGTTCCTCACACACAGTTTGTTCAAGCCCTGCTGCTGGCGCTAGGGTTTTATCCCGAGGGAAAAGTAGTGGGGCAGCGACTGCAGTGACTAGTTAGGAGGCTGGGGGCCCTATGGTGCTAGCTGTCTTCTCAGGTGAAAGGCCTAATGAATTGATAGCCTAAGGCCCTGCAGGGCTTACAGGCCAGGGGAAGGGTTTGTCCCACAGCTGAAGTCATCAACATTTTCAGTGAATGTCCTACTGGCCATTACATATCTGACCTCTGCAGCTCAGACTTGCCAATAATGAGTTTTCAGCCCCTTGGTGTTGAACTAACAGAGCATTCCTAGCTTCTAGAACTAAGGAGTTTAACCACCATTACTAATGCATAAATAGTAACTACAAAGCCATTAAATGCAACTGGTAATACTAACTGCGCTGCCTAGGTTACTGCAAAATACCATGTTGAAGGCTGGGGTGGTGAGATACCACTTGATAGCTCTTTAGTAGAACATTTCTTTCGTTTAGTGGATTTTTATGCATGGTCTAATGATAAAAAATGCACTGTCATTTCTATGATACATGTATTCAAAGGAGAGAAATTTTATTTTAAGGACTTGGTAAGTTTGTGGTTGAAATGGATATGCTACACCAAATAATCTCACCAAAATAATCATATCTGTGAATATGTGTATTTCTGCTGTAGCGGTGGGCACCTATAAATCCAGACACGTAGCAGGAGCTCAGGGTCTGCCAGAAGCAAAATCTTTTTGGAGGTGCTGTTTCTGTGTACAAAGGTCCGTTTGAGGACTCCTGTTTGTGGTATATTCTGCTTCCTAACTAGTGGAGCTCCTCAGGGCCTAAGCTGACAAGCGACTGTTTGAAGGAGACAAACATACAGAGGCAGAGGGGCAGACACCAGCCCCCTACCTTGTGGAATTTCTGGCTTTCAGCTAATTTTCCTACTTGGTCACACTTTTTAAAGATGACATACAAACTTTTCTAAGCATTTATTTTTAAAATTTTTCCTTCATGATCTTGTTTTTAAGGAGGAAATTATTATGACAAGAATCATATCGTTATGAATCAGCCGACAGATGACAAACATTCACAAAAATGGGATATTGAAATATTGTGAGTAAAACCCACCACACAGATGGACTTTGGGGGGGTTATTAACACCGATGGGTGTTAAACCCCAAACTACTGAAGTCACACACCACTGGAACCTTAAGCAGCAACTCCTCTCTACTTTCCTTCATACCAAGTACCAACTCCTGAAACAACTGAATTTTGCACAAATCTGGAAGATGGGAGGTTGAGCTAATGTCTCTCTGCAGGGAAGCTGCTCCTTTAGAGGCCACCCCTGTGAATGTCACTGTTACTCTTCATCTGCAGTATTGAAAGTAAATGCGGAAGTCTAGGCATAAGTTTGCAGGATATGAACTGCAAGAGATAATACGGGAAAGGCTCTTTAGAAGTGTCTCACCTTCCCCTCAAAAACTAATGGAAGCTCACTGAAGAATGTGTGCACTAACAAGCCGGAAAGAGGTTGAGTTGGGCTTTTATGTCCCGAGTGAAACTGTGCAGGCTTCAAGCACAGTTCAAGAACAGTGCAGAACTTCCTGAAGTTCAAATTGTGTGTCTTGCTGAAATGCAGTTTATCTTGTTCATAAAGACAACTTTGAACTAGAGTTACCAGCTCAGCATGTGAAATGGGGCAATAGAGGAAGCCTGACTTTCACCCTCCTAATGTTACTGGCAGGCCTTTGTCTTCATTTGTTTTAACAATACCAAATTTCCAGATTCAAGAGCTGGTTTTGCTGACCTGTGGCTTGTTTCCAACCCATGAAATTGTGAGTTATTACTGAAGGTCACCTTTAACATGGAGCCATATGTGCAGGTATCAAAAGAGAATGAACAGTCCTGGGTCAGGCTAGACTCCTGCAAGGGCTAGCTGCACTTACAGCAGTAATGACTTTAACTCTAGCTGTGTTTTGCTTCGATGTATATAGATTAACTTAATACAATGTAATTTGGTCTTGAAACTGTGTCTTCCTTCAGAAAATAATTCACCCTGGTATGTATTTTCAAAGGTGCTAGCAACCTGCATTTCAATGCTTGCTTAATGTTAAAAGAACAGTGTAACCGCCTGTTAACATTACTGTGCCTCATCGACGACATGTAAGTCTTATCCCAAAGGATGAGGACTAACGGTCCAGCCCTTGGTGTGCTGGTGCTTTCCTCAGGTGCAGTGCCGTGCCACCAGCCTACTGGCTAGCCCTGGAGAGAGATCCAGCCAAAATACTCCATGGGCCTGCAGTTGTCACAGGCTTGGAAAGCATGTTCCTCACTCCATGCTGACAAATATAACAGGAACTGCAGGTAGCTGTAGGGCTGTAAACACCTGGCAGGGAAGAGAGGTCCCTTAGATCACTGGTAATGTCATTTGATTTCAGCATCACTAAATTAATCTAATTCATTGAAAACGTAGGGTTTTTTTTTCCTTCTTTGTATATTCAGGTTATGTATTTCTGTAACTATTTAAAGAGTTTAGGTTAGCTAAAGACAGATATTTTCAGTTCCAAAAGCTGTAACTATTCCAGCTGTGCATTCAAACAAGATTCATCCCCAAAAAAATAAAAACACATAACCCTAAGTTTGCCACAGAAATAAAATATAAGAATGTCTATTTTTGTATGAAATGGAGTTCTATATAGTACTATTTAAGAAAAAAAATCTACTTGCACTTACTATTTTACACTCTAAAATTGTCATAAGTCTGCAGTTTAAGTAACAGATTGTCAAATGTATGTATATAGTTTTCCAACTAAAGCACTTGTTTAGCTTTTTTTATGTAAGTCAGTATATCAGCATTCTACACATGACTTGCTTTCCATGTGAAACTTTGAAAGCCTGTGTAAAAAGTTCTAGTCTTTT